ACTGTCCAAATGAATTCCCTTTGCCTCCATCCCCCTTGACTCGCCTGTATTGCCCTGCCTGCCCCACTCCCGGCCATGACCCACACCCCCTACTCAGGCTGCCCCATCCCCATGCTCCAGCTCACTTTGTCCCATCCACAGACTGGCAGGTGAACCACCAGCTGCAGAACGTATCCAGGGAGCAGGCCACTGAGCGCAGCCACTTCTCACAGGAGGCACAGGTGTGGAAGCAGAGCCTGAGGCAGACACAGCAGGAGCTGGCATGGGTGCAAGAGGAGCTGCAGCAAGCATGGCAGGCGGCCCACCGCAGTCAGCAGGAGCTGGCCAGGCAGGATGTCGAGCTGGTGCGTGTCTCAGGGGCCCTGAATGCAACCCAGAAGGAGCTACAGGACGTGCAGGGGAAGCTCAGTGCCATCGAGCAAGCAGCGAGCAGCCTGCATGTCTGCCTGAATGCAGGTATGGGCACAGTGCAATGGGGAGGGGGCAGTGCCTGAGGGGTGCGGGGCCCACGTCTGCAGGCGGCCAGCAGCTGAGCTGTGCTGCTGTCTCCAGACTGCTGCCCCTCGGGCTGGCTGCTCTACCGTGGCAAGTGTCTCTTCATCTCGGCGGTGAAGAAGAGCTGGTGGGACAGCCATAGGGATTGTGTGAAGAAGTCTTCCCATCTGCTGATCCAAAATGAATGGGAGTCGTGGATGCTGCCGGTAAGTATGGGGGCTGCAGCTCCACAGCAGGATGCCCCCTATTGCCTGCTGCCACCGCCCTGGCATACGGGCTGCTGGGAACACAGGTGGTCCCAGTGCTCCTGGCCACTGAACATTGGACTTGACAGATTCTCTTCCCACAGCAGTTTTTGCAAACAGGTGGTGCCAGGTACTGGATTGGAGGAAGATACTGGCCATCAGATATTCAGAAGCTGAATAAGAAGCCACATAACATGTAAGTCAGTAATGTCCCTCTTGGCCAGCCAGGGTTAGATGTACCACACCCTGCCTGGCTCTGTCCCTGACCAAGGAAGGATGTTCTGGTGGGAACAACTCTGGCTCTTCTGCTTTGCTGAAAGGACCTGGTGGCAGACAGCAGGCTGGGAACATCACCAAATATGTCACCCTGTAACCTCTCACCTGCTTCTTCAATTCTAGGGGAGAGCTTACTTACTGTGTAGCAACAGCCCATGGGATGATAGACCAGAAAAACTGCAGAGAGGATTATGCATGGATCTGTGAGCAAGCCCCAAATATGAGCGGCGTATCAGAGAGCATCTTTTCTCTGCTTGCTGAAGAGTGACTCTGGCACTCCTCCATCGCATGACTTGGAGACAGAAGCTATGGATACAAAAGGAAGACAGCCTTCCGGTTGTGCATGGCACCGTGCTTGTGGCTTGACATGGTCTGGGGAGGTAGATGGGGAAAGAGAGTGTTTTACAACTTGCCTGTCTGTTTCTCACACTCACGCCCATCCTTGATACTTGACAATAAATTCAGGGCCTTCAGCAGTTAATTCAAACTCTTCACAACCTGACATTCTGTTTAGGGAAGGTTGGTTTGTTCCTGGCAGCTGGAGCCTCAAAGCAGAGTCTCAACATCATACAAGCCTTGAGGAGATACACTGTACCCTGCTAGAGTTGATAGGTGCCCTAACAAGGTAAAAATGCTGATTAGAAACTCAGTCAGCAGCCACGTTCTTCGTAAATAAGTTCCTGGCCATATATGGACCTGGCTTATGTAACACATGACTTTCTGGGTAACGCTTTCCTGTGGTACCTCAATACCACCAAAGACATCCTTGAAAGAACCCCATATTAACACAGAACACGAGTAGTTGGCTTTTCAACCTGTCTCTTGGGTTGGTGATTTCATTCCTGGATCTTGATGACATGCTCGCAGTGCTCTGCCCTCTGGTCATGGCTCTCAGCCATGCCATACTGAGCTCTGCTTACAACCTCTGCAAGGCAGTTAATAAATCACCTCTTACACATTTTGAAGATGGCTATGATGGCCCCATTGGTGGTGTTCCTAATCTGCCTTCACTTCACCCCAAACCACCCCCACTGACCATGTTCCTCACTGCCACATCTCCATGGTTCTTGGCTGCCCACAGAGACCGTGAATCCACCAGCTTCCTGGGCAGTCTGTGCAGGTGCATCACAATTCTTGTGGAGAAGAAATTTTTTCTTGTATCCAACCTGAATACCCCACAAATCCAATATGATATCACCATGAAAGACTGGCTATGGGACAAGGGGACATGTGTGCAGATCAAGGAGCCGGAAAATGTTGGTAAAAGTGTCCGCATGCATGTGAGAGAGGGGAATGAGGTCTATTTTTCATAAGCCTTGCTTTAAAATACAGGCAGTTCTCCAGAACATTTTCTCTGTGCTTTGCCACATGTTGGAGAGAATGCATATACAGCACTGGGATATTTCCATGGGCAGCCCAGCTGCTGTCCCCCAGGCCTGTAATATGGAGGGGCTGGCAGCAGGGTCAGTCCTTGGTCAGGAGAGGAGTGAGGCTCTCGGTCACGCTGCTCAGCTTTGGGGGCTGCTCACAGATCCATGGGTAAAGCATCCAGCATGATAAGCTCTGCATTTTCCCGGCTACTAACAGTGCACAATCTTCACTGTAATCATACCTAGGAGACAGGACACATGTCAGAGAAGCAGGGACAGCATACACCACCTGCACACAACCTCAAGTTCCTGCACTGAGGACACAGTGAAAGAAGAGTCTCCTTCCCGATAGTGGTTTTCTCTGACCAAGTCCATCCTACTACCAAGTGGACAAGCTTATGGATGGCACTGAACCATACACTAGGATATGATGCTGAATCTGAGCATCGCTACCTGGGGAGTGTGGTGCTGTGCCCTACGAGTGGGCTCTGACTATAGCTGTTTGGAGCACCACTCTAAGGAGGAGCTCATGAGTTGAAAAGACACATCAGGGGTATGGGAAATAGGGTAACCTGCACTTCCAAAGATTGGGCCAGGGACTGCTAGATATACATGCAAAACAGCTTGCAGTCTCATACACAACTAACCTCTTTGCACGGTGAAACTCTTTTCTCTTGATCCAGTACCTGGCACTGTTTGCTTGGAGAAAATTCTGTGAGGAAAGAACACGTTGAGTGCCTCCACCGTGCCTGGTAGTCAGGAGTGCTGGGACAGCCTGGGGGCATCCTGCCGTGGAGCTGCAGCCCCCGTACTTACCGGCAGCATCCACGACTCCCATTCATCTTGGATCAGCAGATGGGAAGACTTCTTCACACAATCCCTACGGCTGTCCCACCAGCTCTTCTTCACCGCCGAGATGAAGAGACACTTGCCACGGTAGAGCAGCCAGCCCGAGGGGCAGCAGTCTGGAGACAGCAGCACAGCTCAGCTGCTGGCCGCCTGCAGACGTGGGCCCCGCACCCCTCAGGCACTGCCCCCTCCCCATTGCACTGTGCCCATACCTGCATTCAGGCAGACACGCAGGCTGCTCGCTGCTTGCTCGATGGCACTGAGCTTCCCCTGCACGTCCTGTAGCTCCTTCTGGGTTGCATTCAGGGCCCCTGAGACACGCACCAGCTCGACATCCTGCCTGGCCAGCTCCTGCTGACTGCGGTGGGCCGCCTGCCATGCTTGCTGCAGCTCCTCTTGCACCCATGCCAGCTCCTGCTGTGTCTGCCTCAGGCTCTGCTTCCACACCTGTGCCTCCTGTGAGAAGTGGCCGCGCTCAGTGGCCTGCTCCCTGGATACGTTCTGCAGCTGGTGGTTCACCTGCCAGTCTGTGGATGGGACAAAGTGAGCTGGAGCATGGGGATGGGGCAGCCTGAGTAGGGGGTGTGGGTCATGGCCGGGAGTGGGGCAGGCAGGGCAATACAGGCGAGTCAAGGGGGATGGAGGCAAAGGGAATTCATTTGGACAGT